ATTACGGCAAACCTGCTGACAAAAATTGAAACACACGAAAGTGAAACGCGGGCCAGCTTTGCTTGCATTTAATTACACAAAAGGAGCCGGCGCCAAGATGGATCCTCATATTCTGCCGCATCGTTAAAGAAAGGAGTAATTATGAATACAAAATACTGCGCTCCGTATCTGTTATGTTGCCGTTATTAATGTCTGGACAAAAGTCAGCCTATGGGACAAAGCGGCAACCATTAAGGCCAGGACTTTCATTTCGAGTTAATGCCGTGTCTTCTTTAGCATATTCATTTTCACATTTTATGAGTTTGAATGAGAGGCCTTGCGTGAAGATGACTTACTTCAAGAGTGTGGTTCAGTCAGAACCAACATTGTGACGGTCGTTACAAAACCAAAACGCCAGACTTCCTGTTTCTTCTTGTGCCCTTTTTTTTTTCATTGCATGCTGTCATACTTTGCCGCTGTGCTCCGCTCACAGGTTATGACAAAAACTAAATTTGGGGTTGGGCTTCTTGATAGCTGGTTCAAATGTGGGAATAAAAATGGACAAAAAAACTTCGGATCACGCGTCTTTGAAGGACCCCTGCAAACAACCAAAATGGTGCTTAAAATTTCCCTTTAAACAGCTATGGCAGACTTTCAGTGTCTTATCAGCCATGTCTTTGAGAATTTTTGTTTGTCTGATCATGAGATTCCAACCAAATTCCGTGCTGCTACATGAAACAGGTGTCACGTTTGCGAGGTGGTGGTGGACCCAAAAAGCAGGCAAGAGGGAGGAGCAGGGTGCATTTGAAGAAGTGTATTGATAAAACACAGAAAACTAAATCCTAAACAAACCAAGTCCAAAGTATCAAACAAAAACCATAACTGAAGCTCAAAACTATCAATAACAGAAACATGACCAAAAACATGACAAACAAACGAACATGACAGAAGCCAAGAGCAAACAATGACCCGACTATGAGTGGGCGGGCTGGGAGTCCTTTTAAAGCACTAATTACCTAATGATCAACAGGTGTGCAGCTGCAGGGGAAGCCCTACAGTGCCACCTGTTGGTCCCAAACCGAATCATGACAACAGGATTTTTTTTTAAAAAGAATTCCAAAGAAGCTTCAGTTGTTAGTTTCATGTTTTTGACAAGGTCCAAACACGAGCCAGGTGTGTGGATCCCAAAAATGCAGACTCAGATAAACTGCGTTATAAAATACATTTATTTAAAAAAAGCACAACGAAAAAGTATCAACAGAAATCGCTGATCACAAGGAGCCAGGAAAAAACAAAGCATAAACAAAAAGGTAATAGTAAAGCCGAGAATACTGTATAAACGAAATGACAAGAGTCCAATTGCACAAAAACAAAATAAGAGCAAGATCAAGGACAAAACAATATCAGTACTTATGAACGAAGGACAAGAGAGCAAATACGACTATGACGAGATCGAGAGGCCTAGAAAAACAATACTTGAGCAAGAGCAGCAAACAAGGTCAATAACCTGACAAAGACTAAGCCGCTTGGCGGTCCTTAAATACATGGCAAGGCTTGATTGGAAACAAGGAACAGGTGCGCCTGCTGGAGGGAAACGCCCTTCCCTCCAGCTGGGGCTGAAAACAAAATTAAAACAGACTGAACATGACAGTTTTATGGCTGGCTATTAAACTCCGCGCATACGTAATGAGAAAGATGTTGATGCTTCGTAATTTAGCCCCGCCCATCCGTCTAGTGTACCGTAGGTGGAGCAAATTTTACAGCATTTGGAAAACAACATTTTTAAGACAAGGTCGTTGGGGCTGGCCCCGCCCATTTGGCGAGATAGGTTGAGGCTCAGGGCCCCACATTGGTTCCAACAGCCAAATGACTCAAACAAATATGGCAGACTGTGCTTAGAATTCATGAAACCGAATGAGACTGGCTTGCTTCAGGTTCTGAATTTTCAATATATGCCAGTAATGCAATACAATACAATACATATTTATATTTACAGAGCTTTCAGTCAGAAGGACAGAACCAACGTTTGATCATCACACCCCCCATAACCCCTCCAAAATGCGAATCTGAATCGGGATGACGACGCCTGTGAAATTTACTGAGTTTTATAGAATGAAAAAGCCTTCGAGAGCTCAGGAAATAAATGTTGCCAAGCAATAACAAAAGCAAAGGCACAAAACAAATTCAAGAGGGCCTTGTCGAGTGGAACATGGGGTGAGGTCGAATTAAATAAGGTGAGGGGCAACGAGGAGGATGCGGCTGTCTCAAGGGGAGGATGCTAATAATTGGAAATCAACCGTAATCTCTCTGCTCCTATGAACGTGTAACATCTTCACTACTTCCTGCGAGTCATCGGCTTTGCGTCACGTTTGAATGTGCGGCATGGCGGCTGGCAGATTGGGACCGGTCGCTTTGAGGCAAATTCACCCTCATCAAAAGCTCCCTTGTATTTCCTCGTTAAGCGCGGGAAGCATGATGAAAGCAGCGCAGAAGAGGAATTGTACATCTGCCTGTATTAGCCAGCCTCGATGTTTTGTCTTCCTGTTTAACAGAATGAAAGATTCATCCGCCGGTTTGGTCCCAGCACACCTGCTGTGAAGCAGCGCAGCAGCTTTCCGCCATTTGCTGGATCACCGGGTGTCCCTTTAGATCCCGCTCCCGGTGGCCATCTTGCAATATATCAACTCGGGAATAGCAGCGTCTTTTAAGATGCGTTTCAATAAAACATGGTGACGTTTGACAGGACTCACCAAACCGACGAGGAACATGAGAGGATGACTCGTAAGCAGCTTCCTCATACGGAGGCATATCGATGGAATCAAAGAGATCTTGGGATGTGGGCAGTTTTCTCCCCACTGACTCAAAACGTCCCAAGTTGAGTTCAGGAGGATTCCCGATTCAGACGTAGGATGGTGGACCAGAATTTCTTTCCAGAAGTCATTTTTTCATGTTCTCACTGAACTCTTTTTTGTCTCACCAAAGTTGCATTCCGCTTGACCTGCCACGATCCATCAGCTGCCCCCGGAGTCCCGCAGGGCAAAAAGGCCAGAAAGCGAAAAATAGCAGCATACACAAATGTGCATAAAGTAAATAAAATAATTATACATTTATTACCTCCCTTACTCTTATTTATTTATTCTTCATTTTAAGGTCTTTCTTTATTATTATTTTTCAAACTTTTTTGGGGGGAGGGCAACATTTTTCTTATGAGATAGTTATGTTCAAAGTGAAAAGCTTTTTTTGCTCCCCATTACATTTTCAGTTTTTTTTTTTTAATTACTAAATAAATGAGAGTATTAGTCTAAACCATCTGAGATCTTTTTGTGGCTCAAGTAATTAGCTTTAATGATTAAATCCGGCCTAAAAGAAAAACGGTAATTAGTAACACTCTTGTCACCGCCGCGATGCTTAATAATGAAACATGATTCATCTTGCCTTAATTCTCGCTTAAGTAATTAGCCGGAATGATTAAATGTGACAATTGGAGAAGAATTCATTATCATTTTCTCCTCTTTTCTTGTTCCTGTTTAAATCACCAGTAAGTATTGGTGATCTCGTCCATATGGTCGCTACCGCTGTTAGCCTTGAAAACGTCTTCAAAAGTCATCTAATTGCACTTTTCTGACGCAGTAAGACTCGAGGAGGACATTCCTTCCTCCTAATTATGATTACGTATTGATCGTCTTCGCCTCATCGGGTAAATGGGTCTCGATCAAAGTCTTGCGCCCACCAACTTTTATGAGATAACAATGCTCTAACAAAGATCAGCAGTATGTAAATTAGATGAATATTTTCAAGGAATCAGCTGGCAACTTCTTTAAAAAAAAAAAAAAAAAAATCTAAAAACATTTCCTTAACCTTTTCAGTGACAGCGGTTACTACAGTGGACAGCTTATCATGTTATGAGGTTACAGGCTGCATGGAAGGGTTAAACCGCTAAATCAATGCCAGGAATATAATGAGACTCATGATACCGTTCATACTCGGTGAGCCAGATTAAAGAAAAGAGGGCGAACCTTGCCCACCCCTGATCAAATCGAAAAGTCACGGCCCTCTTTTGTCGACATTCTGTTCTTCCTATCGTGTGTGTTCTTTTTGTGACTCTTGAAGGTGTCGAATGCAGCAAAAAAAAAATAAATAAATAAAAAATCTCTCTGGTTTGCTTTCACCACCGTTGTGCAAATGCATCTGCCACGCGATCATTAAACAAACATCTCGAAATAGTTTGATGTCAGTCACAGCCTAAATGTGTCATGTTGGCCTCCAGCAAAGAGGCTGGTTTTTATATTTTAAGAGCTTCTTTTTTTTTCTCTCATTCTGGCTCCTGACAATGCCAAAGTGGGACAGACACAATGCAGACAACCTTGATACAAAAAGTGTTATTAGTGGTACTTAGGGGGTCTCAACTTAGAGTTTTGCAAATCCAGCACACAAGAACTGTTTTACAACATCAAATTGGAAAGGCATGTCTATCACAAGACTCACAAAAAGTCTCAAGAGGCCATGCTCCAAAACGCACAGGAAGTCAGCCATTTTTTAAAAATCATTTTATCCGTTTCGGGGTTTCCTTGAAAAAAAAATACCTGATTGCCACCAAATTCAAGCCAGAAGACAGATCGGTGACCAGGCTGTTCAAGTTTCATGTCCTTCATGTCACGAAGCTATTGTGTTGTGGTTTTGAGGTGACCTTTTTTCCTGGAGTTAAACAAACTCCTGCAAAGGAATACACCTAATGACTGTTGCATTTATTTTGACCCATCCTTTTTGGGAGCCTCAACATGCAAAAATCAGTCAAGTATGTTATGATTTTGAGTTGTCTTGAACATGACCACCAAAATTTATCCCCAGGAGCACCCAGTGGGAATAAAAAAATTGGCCCGACATGTCTTTTATAGATCGACACAGAATCGACCGCTCCCCTATCATATAACAGGAAGCGCATAAAGTTCTCAAGGAGTCATGTCGGAAGTTTAACAGAATGTCGGCCATTTTTTTTTTTTTTGTGACCCAGCCAAATTGCAGGACCTGAACTACAAACACATTCGAAGCACGTATGCTCAACAGATGGCCGAGGTTATTTTATGTATTTATTGCCGACACCAACTAATGTGGGCATATTATGGGGCGAAGTCTGATGATACTTTGACAAACTCCTTCAAGGGAATTTGTTCAATTGAACCCCGATCAGAAGCGGGTTACGCAAGACAGCTGGGAAAGCAGGTGTGAAGCTCCGTTCATCCGGGCTTACGCTTTTAAATTTTATTGTTGTTTGCAAATACAAATGTCCTACACTTCACAACGTTGGAGGTGTGTTCTACAAGGTTTGCGCGCAGTAAAGCAAGTTCATTAGCTTCCACTCGGTAATAAATTAAAAAAACCCGCGTACTGATTCACATCAACAAAACAACCTTTCTTACCTTTTGCTCACAATAACAACATCCCAGCAGAATTCCCAAATAAAGCCCCTGACTGTTCTGTATCCCTCATTACGATTGAACTTATTCAAGTTAGCTAACCTTCACGTTGGAATTCATCAGTGTTTGCGTGTCTAATTTGGTCCACTTTGATCTTCACAGGAGAAATAGAAATACCACGGTAAACAATAGGATCAGGTGCGCTCCAGTTGAGGAAGAAAGTTTGCTCCCAAGGAGTGGACCGAGTTGTTGTGGCCCGCTTACTCACTTTTTTATCTGGCTCATGCTGTTCATTTTTCAGAATTCACACCAAAAAAAAATCTCACGTCAGCCCAGTCATACATCATTAATAAACCGTGGTCGATAGAAATTGAAGGTATGACTCCAAATAATGTCGCAAATCAGAAGCAATGCGCTGGAGGACTTACGTGCCTATTGTTGATGTAGGCCAGGCTGCCTTCTGGAACGGTGTGTCTTTATCTATTTTGCAGGCAGTTTTATTGACTTTAGGTGGAAGCAAGGCTGGCGGCTGCCTCAGTGAGACTTCCCCAACTTCATCTGTGGCAACACATACAGTAGGTATCAAAAACTTATGGAGCGGCACACTTGGGATTTTGTCAGTCTGTATCCGACCAAAATAAAACTTTAATCCCTCAGCGAAGGTGCGCATGTGGTGCCAAAATCTGTTATAGGCTTAATGAATTTGCTTGAAATACATTGATGTGATTATTCGCATGTGTACGGTTTTACTAATGTACTGTAGATTCACACAGTCCATGCTGGCATCCGTTACACATCCTGTACATCTAAGTCATGCTAATTTATACAAATAAATTATACCCTTGGTTGAATTTGTGCGAAATCGTGCTTAATTGGCCAGTTATCTTCCGAACTACAAGACTAACTGGCTAGAAAATTAGCTGGTAAGCTAGCAAACCAAACCAGCTGCTTCGCTGCTGATCTCAAAATAAAAAATAAACACAAGTATTATGAAGAGTTTTTTTTTTTTAAATTAAAGCATTGATTCAATAAATGGCTGCGAATAAAACAGGAAAGCTTTATCAGTGTGTGCTTGTTTGATGTCAGCCAATAGCTAGCTACGTTGTTAGCCAAACTTACCAATGAGCCTTGAAAAGATAAAGATACTATTTCAATGGGTAATGCAAGACAGACAATGTGGATGTTAAAAAAAATCAAGACTTTACCTGACCAAGAAGATGAGTTTACCTGGTGGTAATTTGTGTCAGCCCAGAGGCTGGACTTTCCAGGTGTGGATAGTCGACAACCCATCTTGGAATAGGAATGTTGACCGAGCCCAAAAACAACCCAAAATGGGTAAACCATTTCATAACACTTGGGTAAAATAAACAACCCAACGTTTTGATTAATGGATAAAATATTTCATCACCCGTGGTTGGAGTAGCTCAAATAAAACATGTTGGATTGAGAAATTTTACCTCATCAGAAATAAGAACTCAAAATCGCGAAAACACTTCATAACCTAGCACTTGGGTAGATGAAACAACCCAACATGTTTTTAACGTTTACCTGCCACTTTGCAACAATAGAAATAGACAGAACAACGAGCAATCACCTATGCAGTAACCCATAATGTGTCAACCATTTCATAAACTAGCGGTCGAATAACTCAAGTAACCCATCTTCGATTGACACATTTTGACCGTGCTCAAAAATAACCCAAAATGGGAAAAATATTTCATAGCCCAGCACTTGAAACAACGCAACAATTTTCGGCGTTTAACTGACATGCGCAATAGAACTAGAAATATTCCATGGAGTTGAAAAAATAAAAAAGATGACGGATTTTTCTGCACATTGTTGCTGTAACATGATTAATGTGATGGCTGCTCTTGCCAGTTCATGATAAGCGCCACCACGCAGAAGGACCGCAGAAGCACTCGGTTGGAAAGGTCCATCTGAGTGACAGCATTGGTCGCAGTGAGAATTAACGGGTGAACTCATTGTGTTATAATCCTTATCATCGGCTAGAAAAGCTTTTGATAATTAATCAGAATGGCAACATCGGGTTACAGTACAACCCATCACGCTTCCTATTTCCTTTTCTATGAGCTGAGGAGATTAGATATGATGCCATTTCCCCCGCATTACTATTTTTTTGTTGTCATTTTTAAAAAAATTTCTATTTCTGAGCATGGTTTGCGGTCTTGCCTCCCCGCTAATCTTGTCAGGAGATTAGACTTTGTCAGCCTTTATCTGATTCTCAGCATTCTCATAAATAACAAAAGCTTCTGATGTTATCCATTACTGAGTGTGGCACACAAAAAAGTGTATGTGTGCCGATAGTGGGTTTACCCATGCACGCGCATTCGTTTTATTTATTTATTTATTTTTTATGTGCAGCCACAGCACTTATTTGTAGACCATCTCAATCAGTGATCATGGACCTTTTTCACTTTGTATAGTATTTCACTTCATTCTATTCATTTTGTGATACCAGACCCTCGCTTATGGAGTCAATGAAGGTTTCAACATCGTTCCATTATTGACGTACAGAAAAAAAAATGCTTCCATATGCAAACCAATGAGATCGGAGAAATGTGTAGGTTTACCTTGGGTCCTTCATTTTATGCAGCACAGCACTAAAGGCTCTGACTTTTCTTGTTAACACCTCATAATGTCAATCTGATAAAAAAAAAAAAAAAAAGTGCTCATCCACAACCTAAAGGCATGAAAGACTCGTTTTGTGTCCGACATTTCCTCGTATTGCTCAGGGGAACTGATAAGGTTTCTGATGTGTTTTTTTTTTTAATCATGTTTTTTGGGTGGGGGGGCAGGGGGGGGTAATAATTGTGCAGTAAAGTGGGTGAAAGGGTCAATTTTCCTATGTGGCAAATGAATAGAGGCAAAAAGTTCTGTTTTTGTTTTGTTTTTTTACTCTGGGGATTTTTTTGTTGTCCTTCGTTTGGCATTGAAATAACTCGAGGGTGTTTATGCCCACAACGGTGCAAAGCACCTTTTTTTTTTTTTTTTTAATCTCGAAATGATTTCTAGTTCTGGTGTTTATTTCTATTGTGAAAGTCGTCAATAATCATGAACGACCGGGCAAGAGTTGCGATCACAACAATTATGACAGAACATTGAGCGTGTGCGTGTTTAAAGTTCTTACTTACTGTATGGATTATTTTGCATCTGTCTCCTCCGATTGCGCAGGGTGGCAGTTATAATGACTAACATGGCAAGAGAGCAATCACTACAATTACTATATGATTCCACATTGCACAAGTAAAAATGGAGAAAAAAAAATGTGATGAAATGTGATTGTCACCATTCTGTCTAGGTTGTAGTTATCGTAAATAACGTGTCAAACGCACGATCGCAATAGCACTAGTAATAGTAATACTTTAGGGATAATTTCTTGAGAGAGTTTTTATCTTATTGTGTGCCATGAGCAACTGGACGGGAGACATCTTTTTTTTTCCACTCTAAAGATTAGTTGTAGTTGTTCCGTTGTATTTCTATTTCTAAACTAGAAGGATAGTACAGTGAGTCAAGTGTGTTAAAAGCCATGTTTTTTCCCTCTGTGTAGCACACAGAAAGACAGCAAACTGACATTTATAGCAGTGAGAAAGGCATAAAAAAAAAAAAAAAAAGTTGGTGAGTAAGTGAAGAGCAGCGTAGGAAATGGAAAGCTACAGGGCCGCTTATCCCGCTGTTAGATGATGCATAAACCTGCCACCAGCCGTCTTACAACAGATTCAACGCGGCCGGTCCGTCCGCCCTGTTGTTTCTTTCACTCGCGGCTTTTAAATCACAAGCGTGCGGGTGTTACAAGGCTTTCTTGGGATGGTATTTTCTGATGAAATGTTCCAATTTACTTTATTTTTTATCTTCTTCCCCTGTCTCACGCGCGTGGTCAGACCTCTTCTTTCCACTTCTTTTTTTTTTTAAGATGAGATGAAACGAGAACATCACGCAGGACTAGAATCACTTTGGAACAGCGGGGTACACCACTGATAGTGTTTCTTTAAAGGGTCGGCAACAGAAGTAGAAAGATGTTTCTCACATTTCACACCAACCTTTGCTTTAACGACCGTATTTTCCGCACTATAAGGCACACCTAAACACATTCAATTTTCTCACAAGCCGACAGTGCGCCTGATAATCCGATCCACCTTATATATGGATCCATATTCAGATTACTTGGACATAGTATTTTAAATGTTGTGTACAGTGCTTTGTTACAGTCGCAGCGGTTGTGAAAGCGTGATATAAATAAAGCTGTATTGTATTGTATTGTATTCCCTTTAGTGAAGCTCCGACTACTGGATGCATAACGTACCCTCAGCCACTATTGTAGCTTCTATTCTATGTGTCTTATATATGAAAACAGTTTTAAAATAGGCCATTCATTGACGGTGCGCCTTATCGTGCGGAAAATCCGGTCCATGTATCCAAACATCAAATTACTTGGCGACTTCTTGGACACCTTTAGTTGTAGGTGTTTGATTTTGCGAAGAGGAAAAGAGTGATAATAACCAACCCTAACCCGAAAATCTTACAAGACACAGGACAACTAGAATACAATTCTAGACATGGAATGGTCTTGCTACGTAGGATACGATGCACGCTTGTCATGGCTGCTCAGTCCAAAATGGTAAACGTTAAAAGCATAACCCGAGCCCCGTTCTTAACATGTCTGGAATCATGTAATCAATGTCCGACACTAACTGTTAGACCGTGACAGAAACTGAACGTTCTTGAGACGTAGGCTAATCCATTTGTAATGGCTGCACCGTCTTATATACTGAATATGACTTAAAAGTGACAATAAATTGACGCAAGTATAAAAACAACAAACGGATGGCCATCCTCATGAGCAACCCTCCCAGAATAATGAAAAACTATCTCCTGCGAGTTGCACTTGTCGACATCCGACGCTTTATTTAAAAAACAAACAAAAACTTGTTTTCCTACAAAGATGGAGGCAGTTTAATTTGTATTCCGTTCCCGTCATGTAACGAATGTGACGCGAACCCATCTCTGACCTTAAAATCAAGGTCCGTATCCAACCGTGGCCAATACGTTGGTCATCTCGAGGGCGGGTTTGCTTTCTCTCCAAGTCGATCCTCTCCGGCAACCTTAAGTAGCAGACAGCACCCATTCAACGCTATTTATAAAAATATATTTGAACAAGTAGGAAACAATACAAGGTAATCTGGAGAGATTACAATACAGGGGAGTAAATAATTGAACATACACACCGATAAGCATTGAACGCACGGCAGAAAAGGTGAGCGGAAGGAAGAACGCGCTAGTCGCTTGACCATCGAGTCTTCTGTCTTTGTTACACTTCGGAAATTTGAAATTCTCAACCAGCCTTGTCTGAAACTAATGACGTTAGCAGAAATGCTATGTACAGCACAAGCCTTTTTTTTTTTCTTTCGTCATATCATACAGTGTACTTACAATATGCACGCGGGCTGGATTTGTCTTTTTTTTCTCTGGCGAATCAAATGCCAGGTTAGCAGACAGATGCTAAAGCCCAATTATTTGTGGAGTTTTCAGCATTGAAAGGAAAAGATGCACATAAACTGATGAAAGGTAATGAAGAATCAACACAACAAAAAAAAACATTGGGTAATTTAACTTGCTTCTGTAAAAAGAAGGCCTCAGAGTTTCTACATTTGTTGTTGTTGTCATTGCGTCTTTTTTTTTTTTTTTTTAATAGGCTAGCTCGATGGTGACGGTCCACCTGTAGCATGTAAATACAAAGAGTTGTATAAAGCGTAGTTTAGAAATGTGGCCACCATAGAGAGAACATATCAAATGATAACAAAGTCACTTTTTGTCAAAGCCAACACCCTTTTTTTTTTTTTTTTGTGTCTTTTTGTTGTTGTTCAAATCCTCGCATACATTCATTGTTGTAAGGTAGACCAAGTATTGCTTTTGAGTCCGTTCAAGATTCTCTGACTGGACAGGGCCACCCGGCTCTCTGCTACTGGAAGTCACAGCAATGACTAACACCCAAAACACTGCTAGACACTCCACAACGGAATCTAAACTTTTTTTTTTTGTTTGTTTTTTTTTACACTCCACAAGAATCTCCTAGTAAAAAGACGGCTTGTTTCGGCTCAACGATTACGATGTGGATGACTGCTATAACTCGACTCTATGAAGAATACAAAACAAAAAAAGTGGCCTGTTTGTTTTTTTTTTTTTCTCTTGTTTTCTGTTTCTAAAAGCCGATAGAACTCTAGCGCTTAATACACAGGTGGACAGAAGAGAAAAAAAAAAATTCAGAAAGTCTTGTTTTGTGTTTTTTCAGGTCAGGTCTCGCGGTCGTTCTCGCCCACCGAGTAGAGTTCGCCAAGTCTCCTGAAGCGAGGGCCCCACTCCCTGAGGTAGTCATAGTTCTGGTCCGAGTCGGATGACGTGGTCTCCAGCGAGCTGAGCGAGCCGGCGACCGATCCCCGGCCCTCGTAGCCGTAGATCTGGATGGAGTCGTACGGCGGCGCTGTGGGGTCATTGTCAGCCTCGTGCAGCCGCACGTTGATGAACTCGTCCACGTCCACGCCGTTGGGGCCCGAGTGGTGGCCGGCGCGCGGCATGAACTGCAGGTCGGGCTTGATGTCCTTGCGCGGCAGGTAGCCGTTGACGCCGTCCGGGTTCTGCAGGGTGGCGATGTCGAAGGCCTCCGTGTCCTCCTCGCCACCGCCCTCGTCATCGTAGCGGATGATGTTCTCGCGCACGTCCTCGTCGTCCTTGATGATGAGCGGCTCGTTCTTGTGTCGCCGCAGAGTCACAAAGAGCACTACTATTACTATGCGAGAAAGACCGAAGCACAAGGGGAAGAGACAGACAACGGAGAAACCAGGTCAAGCTTCCTCATTGCAAAGGTTGAGACAAGAATGATTTTATTTGTTGGGTGTCCAACTCAATTTTCAATGAGTGACAGCCACTTACCAAATCCAGATCCAACAAGCACATTTTTGCAATAGGATTGCAAACATGCATTGCCGTCACACTGACATGCATATCTGTGCCAGGTGACGCGATTGACGCATTTGACGCGACGCGAGTCGGGGTTAGCACATTCAGTCGAGTTAGCAAATTGGAAGACAAAGATCGCGTTGCGCGGAACAGCTAATCGGCATCGAAATTGTATTTGGCACGTTACGCCCATGCTGTCCGAAAAGAAAGAAAGAAATAAATAATGCACACGTGCGGCATCCCGTGTCAGACAAAACAAACATTGCAGTCTGTGAGCATCGGAAGCTGTACGACGCTGCCAGCCAGCTTCGAGACCGAGCCAAAAAGACAGCAGGCTTGGAGAGTGGTAAAGCGAGTCAGTGTGTTTATTTGCTTACAGCTGCTGAACTGTGAACCAAGATACAAATAGCATTTAGCATTCGCCCAAATTTTAGCACTATGACTAAACCTGCTCGCCATGTTCATCTTTTTTGGATAAGGTGTGGCGTGGCACGAACGTAGCCGCTACGTTTGTATTCGGTGTTCAAACTCACTCGTGAAACACAAGGAAAATTCACATTTCATCTTGTGTCTGAACGTAGCATAACAGTTTGATTCAGCATGGGTTGATTGGTCATGCCTGTCGAGCGAGGCGCAGGGATAACGTGCCAAAGAAACGACTGTTATGTTGCGCTGTTCACATGTGAGCCGAGTTCGGCAACAATCTGTGCAGTGCGCTTTCGCAGCAACAAAGTGTGGGGTCGTGTGATTGTGTGACAAGGGTGACAAGTACCCAGGGAGCAAAACTACGTTTTGGTCACAAAAACTGTCTGGAAGTTAACCTTCCCTGTTTTTTTCTGGTGGGGCGACAGTGATGACTTCCATCAATCAACCTGTCAGAGAGTTGAATAATTTCTTCTTTTCTCTTAACCTGTGCCTCAGAATCAATGTTTGGGAACGGCGTAGTGTACAGGGGGGCCAAATGGATGCTGTGTCAAGTCTTGAAATGTGTTTGGATGGAGGTGAAAATAGTATCATCCCGGTAAACATACATGTAGACAACATTTACCCATCCAGCCATCCATTTTCCGATCTGCTTTATCCTCACAACGGTCGCGGGGGCTGCTGGAGCCAATCCCAGCTGTCTTCGGGCAGTAGGCAGGGGACACCCTGAACCGGTTGCCAGCCAATCGCAGGGCACACACACAGACGGACAACCATCCGCGCTCACACTCACACCTAGGGACAATTTAGAGTGTTCAATCAGCCTGCCATGCATGTTTTTGGAATATGGGAGGCAACCGGAATACCCAGAGAAAACCCACGCAGGCCCGGGGAGAACATGCAAACTCCACACAGGAAGGCCGGAATTGAACTCGGTACCTCTGCACCGTGAGGTCGACGCACTAACCACTAGACCACCGGGGCACCCACATTTACCCTCATCACATAAATGCGCCCTTAAGTATGGGTGTTCAGAGTGGAACTTTTGCACCACTCTGCCGAACCTCACCTAAGAGCAGAATGATGCAGGCCAGGATGGCGATGAGCGCCCCCATGCTGAGGCCGATGGGCAGTACATAGGCCTCAATGTTGCAGGACTGCACGATGCCGTCCTTGCTGCATCCGCACACGCGAATGGTCAGGGTGTTGGTGCTGCTCATGGGCGGGGTGCCGTTGTCCGTCACCACGATGGGCAAGAAGTACATCTCCTGCTTCTGCCGCCGGAACGTGTCGTGCTTGGCCAGGACACTAATGGAGTTGTCTGCGAAAGAAGCGGGAGAGGGCGGTGCGAGAAGATGAGAAGAGAGAACTAATTTCACATCAGTCGCCGTCTCGCTTGTCTCCCGCTGATGGATTTCAGCGATTTTTGCTCAACGGCGCAATACGGGGAAGCCAAAGGGTAGCGTGGCAAGATGGGAAAGGTGCCGACTGCTCTTTTGAAGCCGCTCGCCAGAAGCCGCCTGCTCGTTAGCCGCCTCTCGTTATTAAACACTGAGCCTGGTCTTATAAAAAACTTGTGAAAGTCTAACCTTTGCCTCTCCCGCTGCCAAGCGGAAACAACACAGCGCTCAGCGGATGCAAACTTGATCAAAAAGACGCTCGGCGGGCAGGATGATTTGAGTAATTGATGCCGACATATGCTCACATTTATCGTCTCACAAGTGGCGGAGCGGAGCAAAGAACACTCAGCTTCCGGAGCAAAGCAATGTCCCATCTCATTTGGATTGCTTGGCAACTTCACGGCGAGGGAAGTACAGATGTCATGTTTTGTAGTAAAGCTATGGGGTCATTTTCTAAGCATCATTTGAGAGTAAAAATAGCAGTCAAGACGTGGCCAACGATGAAAAAGCTTCAGACGCAGAAAGATGCAATCATTTGATGCAGTTTATCCTCGTGGGGAAGCTGGAGTCCATCCCAAATGAATGGCCAACTCGAGCCGAGATCGGTTGCCATTCACAGGGCACATCGAGGACAACCATCCACACTTGAATGTTTACGGAATAAGATTCGAAATAAGACACACTACAAGTCCGACCAGAGTCTACCCAGTCGGCGTGTGTTTCCGTCAAGATTCAAACCAACGAGCAAGCGAGACAAGTAGCTGCAGTTATGTCGATGGAGGCATTATGTGCATGTGTGTTGTTTCTATGTTCAGAAAAGACAAAAAAAGGATATGGACCCGTTCCTGGATGATGGAGAGGGGGCGGTATGGACTGGTCTTTTCTCCAAAAAGACAAAAAGGTTATGAATTTGTTGACACCATGTTCGCTAATCAGCTACTAGCTTTGCAGCATGCTACTAGCATGACTTGAAATGCGATGTAGACTTTCCGATATTTCCCCTTTTGTTCAAGTCCGCCACACTCTGATTGGATGCGCCACGTCAAGTCTCTCGTCATAAGTAAAAAGGGCACCGTCTTGGTGAAGAACCGATCCAAAGACGGCGTAGGACATGTCACACGATGCGGCAAGACGAATAAAAATTCTGACGTGAATTGCAACCTTGAAGCCGGGAAATTCCAGAGTTGCCACGAAAACCTCAACTCGACAGAACGTTCACCTTTTTTGGGCGGGGGCTCGGGTGCACTTTATAGGGCCTTGGCTCCCATTGACTCTTTAATGAAGTGAGCTTGGAAGCCGGGAAATCTGCAAGTTGACGCTGCCGCAAAGTTGATTTACTCTTTATGTGGCCACAGGTGCATATTGTGGGGTCTTGACTCCCACTTAATATGAATCCTAGTTACGATACAATTTAGATGCTGGTGTATTGGCTTCACCTTCTCTGTCAAGATGCCAACAGGGAGGGTTTTTTTTTTTTTTTTTTTTTTTTCTTTTATGGGGGCTCGGTTGCGCTTCATGATGTCATTACACCTGCTAAGGTGCACTCTGTGGGGGCTTACTTTCATTTGGCTTCTGTGAATACTACCTTGGAAGCTGGGAAATTTACAGGTACACTTTGCTGCCAGGTTGTTGATCGTGTGTGTGTATGGGGTTGGGCAATGGGGGTCGGGAGGTCTCCACGGGGGCTCGGGTGTGTTCTGTAGGTTCATTATAGCTGCTGAGCTGCGCTTTGAGCGGCTTCAGGTGCACTCTGTGGGGATTGGCTCCCGTCTACTGTATCGCAAAAACGTAGTTAACGCCTATAATGCTGCTTTGGTGCATAAGAAATTTGTGTCTAGACTTAATTGTAAAGTTGCTGGTGGGTTGGGCATTGGCTGTCATGATGTGGACTTGGATGCAATTTGTGGGGGCTTTTGTTGGAATTGGTTGTCACACCCTTGTAACACCTACAATATTGTAATCTCAGAAGTCGGGAAATTTATGGGTTGCCTTTGCTACAAAGTTGGCGATTTAGTGGACGGGGGATTTACATACTCAATGGGTGCTCGTGTGCTTTCTGGGGGCTTAAATCTCACATACTGTAAATTGGATCTCGGTGGCGGCAATGACACAAGCAAGGAAGAAGTGAAATTCAGCGGTAGACTTTTTTTTTTGAACAAACAGTCTCCTGGATCAGATTGTGTTGTCATTCCGAGGGCTTTTAGCTACAATCAAGCCTAAAGCTGCGATATGAGCTTTTTCTTTTTATTGATAGATTCAACCAGTAGTGGTGAGCACTTAAAGTTCAATCCGTTGAAGAGCATTTTCCACTCGTGTGTGGGCCGTTCCCGTGATTACACTCATCATGCCAAACAAAAGCGGCACACGGGGGGGCCTCGCCTGACACTCGTCAGTCAAGTGTCTGCCGCCACCTCCGTCAGACAGAGATAGTCGCTGAAATGGCGATGGCGGGCCTCCTTTTAGGCGCTATAGACAAGTGGCTGGTGCGGCGTGTGCTATATAGCGCAAGAATGACAGCACGTATTTGCTTTGATTCCTGCTAAGGTTATGTTGTGTGTGGAGAACAAACGCGCCCTCGACTCGACGGAGCGATACAAAGAAAGAAAGAAAACAACAGTGGCTGTTTTGATCCAACGTGTTGCCTTGAGGAACGAGGGGGGAGCTTGTAAAAGAGCAGCACCTTTATGACTCACATTTGATCCACTGTTGTACAGGTTACACTTTGACCACATCTTTTTTTTTTCTTTTTTTTCTTCTAGTTAAGCAGCTATAAAACCATGAGGTCATCTGAACTCATCATAAGACTTAAGAAAGTCATTTCTGGGAAAAGGCGCAATAAAAAAAGTTACTGTTGGCTATAGCAATATTTGAATTAAGATTCAAGTCTCAATAAAACTGTCAAATAGGAATAGAAGTGTAACAGAACCCCCCCCCCATCATCCCATATAAACAATAGTAGTAAATAAAAGCTGAAACAATTTCATTGAATAATGGGTTAGCTAAATATGATAAACAGTCATAATGTCAAAATTTAAAAATATATTCAAGACATAATAGGCGAATAATGTAGACAGTGAATGAAATTAAAATCAAATAAAACACAAAGAATCATATAATAATAATTCATCACATTCCAAGAAATACATATTGACGATAATGGTGCCATACAATATATGTAATATCAATTATATTTTTTACTAGGAGCTGTACAGAAAAGAAAGGAATACATTCAATATGGTGCATTTATGGCATATACCCCATCATTTGCCACTGTGTACCCACCAGGTAATGCGCAGAAGTAAGAAAAACAATATTATTTTTGCGGAGAGTAAAAAAAAAAAAAACAAGTGTATTTTTTTTTTTTCTCCTCAACTATGACCTGGTTTTGATGGCCTCTCCGAGCCGTCAGAGGCGGGCTGCAGTATGTTAGCCTGCAGCCTGTGTGTCCAAACAGAAGGCTGCTACCATATGAATAGATTTTTTGCCGCGAGCTGAAAACATTACACGTGACGGTGAACACAGCTTGTTCATCACCACTTTGGACGAACAGAATATATATGTTAAAAAAAAAAAAATAAAACAAAAAACAAGCAATGAGCATATTGTGTTGCGAAACCGCGGTGCCATCTGGTAGCCACGAGGTAGCGAGGACGTCACCCTACATTGAGCAGCAAAACTAGCAGGACGAACCCATTTGGATCTCATTGGTTTATCTTCACTCACAGTGCACTCGTGTCCAACATCTGCGAAGTTGGTGGCTTCGCTTCAACACACCCCCTGCAGCCAAATTATGAATTCTAACAACGATTTGGGGAAGGGATTTGCGACGCTGCATCATTGTACATTGTTTCTCGTTTATTGTAGCTGCGGTGTTTTTGTTTGGAATGTTTACGAGGAACATTTAGGCGTAGGAGGCACATCTGGGGTGGGAATTACCGTCCAATGTGTGATAACAGCGTTATCACCTCCTTTCACCGACAATAATACGATAATGTCATGAGAGTCGGCTATACAGTGAACCGCCATCCCGTCTTGAATATACCGTCCATTTTTTTCTGCGGAACTCATCCTCGGCTCTTTGTTCGCTAACGGGGGATGTGTGTCTGCTGACTTCCACTCGGCACATTGTGAGCCAGTGGGGAGAATACTTCAAAAGGCTTACTCGGTTCCACCGACATGCCTTCCTTTGAGGAAGCAGAGTCTGGGGACTCTGTGGTGGGCTTTCCTATTTCTGGGGTTTGAAGTCACCAAACAGCTCCTCGGCGTCAGGTGTGGATGAGATCCACCCGGAATTCCTCAAGGCTCTGAATGTCGTGGAGCTATCCCGGCCTCTGCAACGTCAGGTGGACATTGGGGACGGTGCCTCTGACTTGGCAGACCGAGGTGGTGGTCTGACCGGAGGATGCGTTTCAACTAGCGCGCTCCCTTAGCCTCTCTGGTGAGGTTCTTAGAGAGGTGTCAGAATTTGGTCCGCAGCAAGCAAGCAAGCAAGCAAGCAAGCAAGCAAGCATGCCGGTTTTGGTGTAAAGAGTTAGATCAACCTGAGAAAAGCATATCGCTAGCAATGACATGACAGAGCCAGAAGCTGAGCTTCACTGTGTTTGTTTTTGCAGTGTGGCGAGTGTGTGACGCAGTTATGTGTTTTAGGTTGGTGACAGGTGGCAATGCTTCAATGTTCATGATTTCACGTTTTTTTTTGTTTTTTTTTTTTTTTCAAACTCAAAGAATTACCGTCTACTACACGAATTTCATGGCTAGTTTTCATGTGCTTTCACCTTGGTTGTTCTTAATAGTGAAGTTGGGATTGTTGAGCATCTCGGGCACCAGGCGGTACTCAAAGTAGTGGCCCTGGATCGGGTCATCTCTGTCCACGGCGCTGACTGTTTGGATCACCTGTGTTGGGATTAAAAAAAAAAAAAAAAAAAAAGAAAGAGATAGTCATCGCACATGCTGGAATATTTGCTCTTCACCACGCTGAGATTTGGATCCTTATCATCAAGGTTTTGCCCGGTCCGCCTTGAGCATCTCAGCTCTATCCGCTAATCTGTCATCAGTGTTCTTATCGCACGCTCGGATTGATTGGGAATTAGAATTCGGGGAGGCCTGTGGGACGGTTTTGGCTCTTTTTTTCGCCCCCCTCCATCCAATAAAAGTGCATCGGACACATGTAGCTGCCTTGAATGAGGTCGATTGATGAGAAGGCAGTCGGGGGAATGCTAAGCACCGGTCGGAGACTTTTTTTGGCAGGGCGATGCATCGTGCCATCTGGAGGAGGCCACATGAAAGACATTCTCAACTGACGATGTGCCGTGATCAATCCTGACGGCTAAGTCCCCCTCCCGCCACAATTTTTTTTTTTTCTCCAACGCCAGACCCTCGACCTCTGAGGCTTCTCTTCGAAATAATTAAGGCCATAATTCACCGTGGCCAATCATTAAAGGGGTGGAAAGCAGGAGAAAGGAGAGTGAAGGATGGCTGCTTTGATGAACAAGCAGCCACTCTAATTTAAAAAAAAAAAATGTTTTGCCTTTTCCCTTACCTGTCCGGGTTTTCCATTTTCACACAAAAAGGCTTCATATTCGGTGGCGAACTCCGGGGCGTTGTCGTTTATGTCCATGACCCGGATGGCCACCACCGCCCGGGAGATCTGACTGTGGTTACCTAGGAGACGGAGGGATGGATGGAAGACAGAAAATTCATTCAGCAAAACACAAAACAGGGCGACGGGTGTATGAAAATCCCAGGTACATTACATGACCTAGTTTTAATTTCCTTTGTTTTTTTTTTTTTTCATCTTTATTTCTCCCTTCATTTCCGGAGCTGATGGAAGGGACACATGATAAGACACATCAATCTACCTTTTGGTGATGCATAAAGAGAAAAGACACAACTCAAAGTGTTTTTGAACACCCTATGTTTAAAACATGAGTGTTAAAGTGAGAAAAAAAAGCATATTAATGACTCATTGGGAACTGAGGTCTGAATAGACAATAAAAGGCAATCTAATTAGTCCTTGCTACGGTAAGTGGTGCAAATTGCGACGTTGAGAGTCACTGCGGATTGATGCGCCTCCTTAGAGGCCTCGCACTTTAGACAACGAGGATGATAAAGCCGGGAAATCCGCACTCTTGTTGAAAAGAAATGTCCAAGTGAGATTCTGCGTTCTTGCATCTGCTGGAACCTGAGCCGAACCCCGACCCTGATTCTAAACCTCCGGTGCCCTGAAACTCAGGCACAAAGAGTCCCGCATGGCGATGGAATTTAACCAAAGCCGAAAGTTGAACTGCACTGCACCAAATCTGAACCTGCGATATCATAATTCCCAATTTGTGGTACACCGAACCCTAAACACAGCTGTAAAAAAAAAAAAAAAAAAAAAACGTACTTAAAACAAAGACAGTGGCTGTGCTGCACGCCTGTGCTGAGTATTAATTCCACATTGAACGCTGCACTAAGAATAATTAGCATTGAAGCCGTGGAGGCAATAAAGTACACTCATTTGCTGAGTTTTGATTGAATTCAAACAGCTCACGAGTCAATTTGCGCAAGAACATTAACACGTATCGAGTAAACACTTTTTTTTAAAACAGACACACCTTACAGATTAAAGAACATCTGCAAAGTACAAAAAAAAAAAAAAAAAACACCCTCACTGACGAGGTGGAAAATCTTTGCCGGCAGAGCTACAAACAGCTTTAGCCCGTGCGTAAGGCTTTTATTTGCATACAGATTGTTTCAGGAGGGCTGTATGTCGCGATAAAGCTTAATGTAGCCCTTAAAGCTACTGGAAGAGGAATTCACACTGCTTGTAACTTGTCTGTCTCCGCCTTCTCGCGCTTAATCAAAGGAGGTGCACGTTAATTGCCAGGCTAAACGAAAGCTGTCACCATTTTTTTTTTTTTTTTTTAGGGGGGTAGGGGGGGTTCGTCCCGCCGGCGTGAGGAGTTGCACGTCTTATTCTGATAAGCCGCCGCCGTTGTCGACATCTTGTCTGGCGGCCGTACATCTCCAGCCTGCCTGCTAGCTAAGTGACTGCGGGTTGCAGATAGCGGTGGCTCGAAACGACATGTTATTGAGAGTTTGCAGGGATTAATGCGGCAGCTCTTTGTGAAAAAGGAGAAGGGACCTGGGTAGTCCTAGTCGTAATACATTTCAAGTGTCCTCTATTTTTTTTTGGGGGGGGGGGTTGCCATTAGCCCCTTTCAACGCAAAAGTCCCCAGTAAATTGGCGCATCTGAGGCGTAACCGTTTATTCACATTTCGGCCGTAACATTGCGGCCAGGTGACATGTGACTAAACACATTCTCTTCCCTAAGTGTTGCTGTGGGGGACGAGGGGGGAGTCACAAGAGGGAGCGAGGGTGTTCGTCCCTGCCCTTAATCCATCCATCACTGCCACGCTGCCAATTGAGCCCTTTCTTTCCGGCTTACCTTTCTCATTCGTACAATACCACATAGGACCAACTTAAGCGTTGATTTGGAATGGCTGCGTGTTGCAGAAAGCATATTACCTCCACCAAGCTCAAGGTGAGATGCATGTAGATGTTGAAATAAAATTAATAGCCACTGTACAACATGAGCAACCGGCTGGTAATGCATTCAACAATAGCATCTTCCGGAGACGATGCTCGACAACGGCACTTACGGACTTCGGTGGCGGTTACGGTGATGTTGTGCCACGTGTCCGTCTCTCGGTCCAGTGGTTTGGCCAGCGTGATCTTGCCGTCGTCAACGTTGATGTTAAACTGCCTCTCCAGGTCCGTATGGCGGTCGATAAAGTACCTGTGTTAAAAAAAACAAAAAAAAACAACACCAACAACATAAAAGACCGTTGAGCCAAAAAACAGCAGCCTGGAAGAAGGAATTCCACACGAATGCCCACTGAAGTCGTGGAAAATCGATAATTATCGCCTGAGGAATAATTACACAAGCAGCAGGGGACATTAAAGATTACTCAAGTCCAAGAGAACACCACACCCACCCGGATCCTGATCGAGACGACACCCCCGCCCCATTTACAAGACCATTAGTGCTTGCTGTGTCAGGAAAAGTGATGTGGTGTTGTTAACCTCATTTGGGGGTCTGTCAACAATCGCAGCCCTCCTCCTCACAAATATACAACACCTGCCACAGGCTTCATTGATCAACGTGAAGCTTGGCAGGATGCACCAAGATGTCTGAAAGACCCATGTCACTCCCCCAGTCCCACCAGCAAAACAGAAGTTTTGCCATTTTGTCAAAAGTGGCACATTCCCGGTTGATCATAACAGAACGCAGGATGGGTGTACAGTATTCCAGGTCTCGCACTTAGACCGTCTCCGACAGAATTTCTCCAAATGAACACACAGTGGATGCTTGTATTATAGACAGAAGAGTGACTTTTTTTTTTTTTTGCCATCCCAGGTCTAATGTGGGCAGAGAGAGCATATAATGAAAATGTGATGATTCCAACAGAGCCCTTCAAGAAAAAAAAAAGACAAAGCCCCCTCTACCAGTGTCACCAGTCGACACTGAATCATTTCATCATTTCGTCCCACTTGGCTTTTATTTTTGGTTCAATTCCAAATTCCCCAACATCAGTTTCATGGTTCAACACAAAACTAGGTGGACATGTCTATCATAACACAAAGTTAAAATTGCCTTCCAGGTTCCATGTCCACTTTTTAAAAAATGACACTGTGATAACTTAGGCAAGTTTTAAGATTTGTTACAAAGTGTTCAAGTCCCTTGGGGTGGAAAATTGGAACTATTGCCCACAAGTAGTGCGGACTTTGGGAACAAAGCGGTTCCAAAATCATCCAGAGCACTGCAGAATTAGCCGCTGTTGTTTACTAGCACTGCGGTGCAACCAACAGACAGAGACTGGCACACGTATTTCCGTCTCGTGCCACTTTTGTCAACAGACGGCCTGCGTGGCGGCCATGTTGTCAAGGGCGATTTCCCTTCAAAAGCAAAAGAAAGCATGGACGTTAACGAAGCAACACCATCGGCATGCAGCTCTTATCAACTGATTCAGATCTATTGAGGGTGTTTACTCATCAATTCTGTACCTACAGCACTGATTTTGGTACAGTAAACATTTTTTTTCTGTCAAGCCCTTCTCCGTGACATCCAGTCGTAGTAGTGAAAAAAGAAGTGTCCAGCTGGACGCCATATCAACCCCCTCAAGTACCAGTGGGCTAAGTCTGGATAACCTTAATAATTTTGTATGGATTTTCCAAAATCACACAGCCATGGCAGATGGATAAAAGAGCCACATCCTGGTCTCAAACGGCAAGTAGCAGACCGCTGTACTACACAGACTGTCCCCTTTTGTATCATTTTCTTAACTTTGAATTGTTGATTGGCTGGGAGAATTCCCATGGCTCTTCAGCCAATCAGGCTCCCTTAACCTGTGAATTACCCTCAGTGGTTTACTCTTGTCACACCTACTACCTTTGAAAAGTCTTCGAAACAGTGATAAAAAAAAACATCCAGAAACTTCCAACAGCACCAGCACTCTGCTCTGAAAATGGACCGGCACATAAAAGGATTTTTTTTTTCTTCCTCTTGCCACTCTTCTCTGTGAAATCGCTTTCTTAGGATGCTGGAAACCAGCGCGGCACCAATTCTCTGGCCGTGGCGAAACACACGAGCGTCAGTGTCACGTCACGCGAACGCACGCACACTCAGAGCTAAAAAAAAAAGAAAAGGATGATGGGTCATTTCTTGTTTTCGCACGTTTCGCTCACCGTTCCATGTGACCAACATGAACATCCCACTCGAGAGAGGATGTGAAAACCCCTAATATGCGAATTACACTGCTTGTAATTGTCCTCGGTCCATCCATTTCCTGTGCAGATAGCTCCGGACAATGGCGAATGGTGCAGTGAGTGGTTATGAGCTCACGCTACCAATGTCACAACAGCGTTCCCATTTCCAGTAAAAGTTTAGTTCACTCTTTTTTACGCCCCCTCATTTTTGTGAAAAGGGGTAGCTATCAAAGCCGGCCCTACCGACTGAAGAACCCAAAGCCGATATCTTATGTTTCACTTTTTCATCCAAAACAAATCTAATGGCATTGTTTTGAACCTTGTCGTGAATTTATACGTCCCCCACAATTAAAAACAAAACAAAACACGATGATATTTTCAAAGAATTCATTTGAATTTAAAATGAAAACTGGAAACATATACAATATAGAATGTGTTTTTCCTAATTTGCATATTAGTAGTTTAGATTGGGCCAATGGAGACACCGAATGAGCAGGTTTAATCTCCACAAATAGCTAAAAGCCCTCCAAGCCAAGAAGTAACAGAAATAAAACTAATTAGCATACAGGTGAGCTCATTACTGATTATCATTCTCTCAAGAGCAAGTTAACCATTTAATATATCGATTCTATTTCTAAAAATGTAGATTTAAAAACGATTTTTTTAGTATGGACAGACTAGTTTGAAACAGTAAACCTGGTTCGAAACCACAACCCTAATTTAAAACAAAAATCTGCAGCCCCAATTTTCTTGAAACCACAAGATGAAATGCTTTCTTTGAAACCTCGACTCTTCATTGAAACCTTAGTTTGAAACCACAACATTGGCTCAAACTCTAATTGTAAAATCCAACCTTCACTTGAGAGTCTAACTGTGGTTTTAAACCCAAAGTCCCAACTTAAACTCTTGACTGAAACAACAAACAACTATTTTTAAAAATGTTTTAACCCTTGTAACGTGGAACCTTGACTTGAAACCCAAATATAAAACTCAAAGGCTTGATTAAAGCCTTCTTTTGAAGGCCTAAACCGGGCTTTTAAACCCCAACCTTGAAGAGTACTTTGAAATTCTATTCCTTGACTGACACCCAATTCGGAATCTTAACCCGGGCTCCAAACTGGATTTAAGAACCCTAACATTGGCTTGAAACCTAAAGTTAAAACCCTGACTTGAATTGAAAGCCAAACCCTGGTTCCAAATCCCAATTTGAAACCTTATTTTAAAACCCAAACCCTGGCAGGCTGCTTTGGAAAGAGAATGACATAAATAAAAGCCGTGGCCCACATTCCAATTGTTGGAGAGACGTAGCGAGCCGTGACATATCCATTTTTTTTTTTCAGATGAAATTGTGGAAACTCCTGGAGACGCCAAGCAGGGAGAGACGTCCACCAGGACCTTCGAAGAAACTGCACCCCCACCGCACCCCCCCC